GGGGGGGGGGGGGGACAAGGAGACAGAGAAGAGAGACAGAAAGAGAGTTACAGGGAGAAAGAGAGAGGAGGAAGAATGGAGGAGTCGGATGGACGAGGAGGAGGGGGGGAGGAAAAGCCAGAGCGTAGGTATAGGACGTTACCAAAGGGGGGAAAGAGCGGGAAGAGGGGAGGGGAGGGGGGAGCCGAGGGGTGGCGGAGAGGACGAGGGAGATCCAGATGAAGAGTGGAAAGAAGAGAGGGCGCGCGGGAAGCGGGGGCGAGCGGTAAAAGCGGGAGGGGAAGGGGGAAGAACGCGCCGCGCGCGGAGGGTATAGGGGACGCCATTGCGATGCCATTTGCAAACATTAATTTCTCGGAGTTAATTAAAGCCGCTGTCTCTGTCTCGCCTCTGTCTCCCTTCCTCTCTATCTCGTATTCGCGAGACCGACGAGAGAGGACGATGACGGCGACGCGGTTGACGTGCGAGAGACGTCGTTAACGACGTCGCCGACACACAATCGTCTTCTCTCGTCCGTCGGGATAACACAGCCGCGCGGAATATGCATGCGGTTATACTTTACCTCCCACCCGGTACATGTTGGCCGTCATGTTGTTGGCGTCCTGCGTGGACCCGAGAGCGAAATTGGCGTTCTCGTGGTTACCGTGGCCCTCGTGGTATTCGGCCGGCATCGGCATCAAGACTTCGTCGTCCTCCGCAACGTGTGTTACAATCTCGCGGTCGCTGCCGCTGAACGCGGCACTCGCACCTCTCTCTATCTACCTAATTACCGCCGTCTTACTCCTTCTCTCTCTCTCTCTCTCAGTCTCACTCTGGCAGTTTCCCCGGTGGACTCTCGGATCTGCTCTCCTTTTCTCTCACACGTGCCAACTATCTCGTCAACTGAATGATACAGTCAACATCTCAGGGCATAGTCACTCCACGGTGTTTGTTTGCCCATCGTTGATCCGCTACTACCAAACTTTCGCTCCCGTCTGCCTCGCTAGTGCGTCCTCTGCCCGTCTGTCTCTGTTCCCCGGGGAAGAGAGGGGAGGGGTTTCGCTCTTTCTATTGCCCTATCTCTGTCCTTCTCTATTTCTCCTTCTTTCCGCTTTGTCTCTCTCGCTCCTTTAATTCCTCCCTCTCGCCTGCGGGGAGGAAAGCACGGTCGCTACCTGTGTCTCTCTCTCTCTCTCTCTCTCTTTTTTAGATCAGAATACTACGTGCGTGCTCACCGCAAACTGTTATTCACAACACTCCGCAACACTCGGTACATACACAGGTATAACGTTCCGCTGTTCAGTTCGGTTCGTTCCGTTTTCAACGACACGCTACCCGACGACGAACGAACGAACGAGCGAGCGAGCGTGCGTGCGTGTTGCGCGTGAATGCGTGCGAGCGACACGCAACAATCGGAGGGCGGGAAAATCTCCCGTACGCGACGCGTACGGTCGGTGATTTACACGACCGCCGACGACTCACGTGTGATGTCCCCCCGTGTCGAGGGCTAACAACGTCGGCGACAACCACCGCTATTGCCGCTCGTAGCACCGAGGCCGACATGACCCGCCATTTTCATGTCGGCGAGCGCGAGCCGCTAATGCGGATGAAGGCTGCGCCACGGAGTGCCCTGCCACCTGATCCGATTGAACGGAGGAACGCCACGCACTCGGAGTCCGGTTCCGCGATCGTCCACGAAAATCACTCACCCGTACACTCTTGTGCGGCGTCCACCGTTCGCCCGCGTCGTCTACACGTCCTTCGGGCTAACTCGCGCCTATGCGAATTGCGAGAAGCCGACGCACTCCGGCCACCGAATAACGGAGAAATAAGCCGATGGCGAACGCGAAAGCGTGCGAGCGCTGCTGGTGGAGATCGCATGAAACAGGGGGACGGGCATCTAGTGATTTTTTTTTTAATCCAATTGTGTTTTCCACTAGAAAACTACAGCTGCAATTCAGAGTGCAAATCGGTTTACATTATTTTCAGTTAATAAATGATTTAATACTTTCGAGGTTATGAGATTTTATCGTAACGACAAAGAATACGTAATTTAAAAAGTTAGATTGTTTATTTATACTGAAAATATGTGAATTGGTTTGCTTTCGATTGCACTCTTATACCTAATGTTGCACTAGTTTTCTCAGTGGAAAACCCTACAAGTTTATTCTTCACACAGCTGCTTGCCATTGGGCGCGTCCAGCGGACTCAACAGTTGAGTGAGCGCTCGCTATTATTGGTGTATTCTTTTGGATCATCCAATCAGAATTTTAGATCTAGAAGAATACACTAATAACAGCGAGCGCTCACTGAACTGTGAGTCCGCTGAACGCGCCCATTGGTTCACCATTTTTGCTCAATTCGCGCTAGTTTTCAATTTCTCAAATTTTGTTTGCATTAATTATATAAGTAGTATTTTTATAGTAACTCTTGCATACATATAGAAAATGCATAAAAGAAATTCTTTTTATACATATGAAAATATAAATCTATCTACAGGAATAGATTTCTATAAATGACTAGTTTAAGTATAAATGCAATTAATTCTTACATAAATACAATATGTCTAAAGTACACATTTTCAATTAATTTTAAATTCAATTAAGCAATCAGTTGCTATTTATTGACCATGTTGTGATTGACCACAGCCACTCATAGATGCTGAAATTGGAATGTTTTTATTAGATCAACCAATCAGAATAAGGTCTTATATTAAATTGATTAATTGACACAATTTTATTATTGTTTACAACATCAGTCAGCACAGCGTTTATTTGTTACTTTTATATTGTAATGTAAAGAATAATTGTACAATTTAATTATTTATTTAGTAATTTAAATTAAAAATCCTTCTCTGTCTGTTTTTGTATCATACATATATAACAACTGACGAGTATACGTTATAGATATATATTACACATTTAACAATCTTTTATTGTGGCTTTTTTAAAGAAGAACTAGGTGCTGATTCTTATTTTAAAATGTGACTGTAATAAGATAGTTCAGTGATTATTTTGTACTTTTAATTTAAAATTTTTTAAATGACGATTTTTTTTTAAACCGCCACAATATGCCAGGTCCTGTCGTGATTCGCTTTTCAAACAAAAGTATGAATATATATTGTTGTTACAGAGAAAAACGTACATTATTATTGCTTAAACAATAAAGCAATTGAGTCAATTAATTATCGCAATCGTAATGAATAAGTAATGTAAATAACAATGTATAATTGTGAGTAATGTAAATAAATAATGTAAATGTAACGTATAATAGAATAAATAATTTCTATGAAACATTTAACAGTACAATTACTGCTAAAAGAGAACATTCTAGGTTTCAGGTTGCAAAGAGAGCATGGTGAATAAAATAAATGTTTGTGCGTAGTATATGAAATATTTATATTTACGAAATTAGTCTTTTTCTATACAATTGCTATTGCGCAGTCATATACTTCTCCATTTTGTCGGAATCGCTAAAGAGAATCACGTACGCGTTGAACAATTAAAATTACTCATTTGTTTGTAGAACCTGTGCGAGCTTGCCTTGCTTTCTCGTGAAAATGTTTTTCGATGCGCCTGACTAATAATAAATAGAGCAACGAATAAATGTCGATTTGATGAAAATACACGTAACACAAAGATATATTTATTATATACATAATATATATAGTGCCTCCTTTTATAATAATACACATCCGCAAGAACGTTTATAATTTAATTTCATGGAATTTCGTTAATTATCTGTAAGGCACACCCCACGGTCGTTATCAAAGTAATTTTGTGTCCTCTCTCTATCTCCCTCTCTTTCGTATTTTTTGCGTATTTATATATAATATCATATAAATAACTGTATACCATTGTGGATATATTCTATTAGAGCCTAAATTTATTATGCGTTTCTATCTTTAAGAATAATTAATGCGCTAAAGATATAGAGGCAATAATCTGTTCTGTACATAATCCTATGTCTTTCTTATCGATTTCTTTAAGATAATGTACCATTTTTTTTTCATTAATGATAATAATGATAATAACGTTATAAGAATACAGGGAAAATGCATAAATGAGATGCACAGGATGAGAGACCTGCTCGTGCACAGGTAGGTTTACGCGTACTCATCCCTTCCTCATCGCGATATACAAAATATGAGTAGTCGAAAGTAAAAACATACGAATGACTCTGTTCGATTACTAATACATTCCCGCGTTGACTATAATGGTTAGACATCGAATTTTTTTTATGCAGATACTTTTTGTGAACATGCACACAAATGAAAATTTAAACAAATATGTAAATATGCACAATATACACAAATAAATATGCATTTGTAGAATGCTTTTGTATATATATAAATTTTGTATAAATTACTATTTTAATATTACTTTCCAATCTGCTTTCTAAAAAATATAAAATTACATAAGAATCCGATGTCTAATGATTTACGGTCGTCTTAAAAAAAAAATCGCGCGTATCGATTCTTTCATTTTTTTCCTCTTTTTTTCTTCTAGAAAGCTGTACTCGCTTTACTTGTAGGTCGCGTATGATAAAAATATGTGTAATATGTATACACTCACTTATAATTGCATTTTTTTGTTCATAACGTTTTTGTATATTACCACTCATGATTTTTTCTTTTTGAATCTTGTGTTTAATATTAATATAAAATACCTATGCCGCCATTGACAAAAATTTATGCATTTGTATGTACAAGTATAGCTCTCCCAAAATCCAACTATCTAGCTTCATCGTATCTGTATCTCTGTCTCTCTCTTTCTCTACTTACTAAGATACTATTGTTTTATGAATAAAAAAATACTAATATATATCGCATTGTCGTTGCACGGGCAGTGTTTGCGTAGTGTTTTGTCCACTCGTAAGGCACCAACTATATTGGGATCCTGAGATTCAACCCGCATGCTTCGACAGATTCAGAGGCATATCTGCAAACGAAAAAATAAAGTCGTAAGCATTTCCGAATATCCTAATTGTCCCAATACTTATTTTATTCATGATACGTAAACGGACATACCTGAAGGAGGTGTGAGAGTTTGTTCCCTGTAGTCTTTGTAATGTGGAGACAACGGATGAGAATGCGGCGATGCGTATAATTGCATAGGAGGCGGATAGTGGACGGGAGACGGATAATGAGGCGCCATCCATAGAGGCGCCGCTCTGTACGGTCCAGGTGGCAACATCGGTATCCCATAGAGCGGATGATGAACGGACGTATTGCTGGATCCGATGTAGGGATCGATTCGTACCCTCGGGTAGGCGTTAGTCGATGAGTATTTCACAGGCTGCCGGTCGTCCGGCTTCAACAATGTCCTCAAGAAACCTGGCTCGGGACTCGGTTTGTCCTCCCCCAGGATACTCGTTATACTGTATGATGACACTTGCTTCGAAGAGGGAGTCGGCGGCGCACTCGTTGTGCAAACCGGCTGTGGAGTAGCCCGTCTCTTGGACGCCTGATCCTCCAGCGAGACTCTCTCCAGCTCTCGCAGTATGCGTTTGCGAGGTGACACGACGTTAGGATCCAGCAAGCGCGCCAATTTATCGATGATCAGACTAAGAACCTTGCCTGACGACGACGTGCCATTCAATTTCCGCGACGCTCTTGTCGAATTAGCCGTTGATTCCGGAACTGAGACCACGGTCGTGGAATCTAACGGACGTCTGCGTTTCCTCGCTATTAAGCGAAGATGCGCGCACAAACGAGTCTTCGGATTTCGACGATAATAAAAATTGAATTCCGTCGTTATCCTGCGCCGGGGGTGGGTCTGCTTCCAGCAGTGATCTCTCTGCCAAGGACTGGATTGGACCGACGAATTGTCATCGGAAACTGAGAACAGAATGCAGAATATGTGTGAGTTATCTGGATTGATTGTATTGCCTATATTTTTTTACAACAATAACGTAAACTAGAGTAAAAGGTCTGGAAAACGAGAGGTCTGCTCATTTCTATTTATGTTTATTGAGTCACCTTATTGTATTGTTTAATGGTCTAGAAAACGATAATAAATAAGTGTAAATATAATGAACAGGGGGGGGGGGGGGG